TGAAACTCACACTGGATGCGTGTGCGTGCCCAAGATCCTGAGAGGAGAACGGAGGAGAAGAGACTGCAGTGTGGCCATCCTCCCTGGGAGGGGTGATTTCTCACTTTCTGTCTCTCTTGTCTTTCTGGCGAGCACACTCACCCTATAGCAAAATCCTCTCCAAAAAATAAAAAAGAAAAAAAGAAAATCTCAATAAGTTTATTAAGAATTAAAAAAACAACTCCTATTACATAAGAAATAATTCAGCTAATTAATCTTTTCAAAAAGGTGCAATGCCTTTATGAATAGATTAAAAAGAATATCATCCTTAGTCTTAGAGTTATAAGGTTACCAGGTAATAAGGCATGTGTAAAGCCAGAGACACAGAAAGTGAGAAATCATCCTCCGGGGGACAGCCACACCACAGTCGCTTCTCCTCCACTCTCCTCTCATGATTTTGGGCATGCATGCACATGTACCCAGTGCATTTCAAACAGCTGGGTCTGGGACTTGAACTGCAGTTGGCCACATGGGAGTCCAGTGCCCTAACCACTATACACCTGCTGAAAGAATATACTCTTCAAGATAGAATAATTACGTTAGCATATAAGGGCAAAATACAGTTGACTAATAAACACACAGTGTGAACAGTACAGTTCTGTCCACTTATTCTCAATTTTTTTTTTTCAATAATCATTGGAAAATACAGTACGTACTATAAGTGTACTTTCTGGTCCTTACAATTGCAATATTTTCTTTCCTCTAACTTACTTTATTACAATAACACAGTATATAATATATGTGATATACAAAATAAGTGTCGTTCAATTGTGTTATAGATAAAGCTTCCAATCAGAAGTTGGCAATTATGAGCAAATAAGTTTTGGGGGAGTCAGAAGCTTTCTGCAGATTTTCATGTGTATGTAGGGGGGAGTGTCCCTAACAACTGCTTGGTTGAGGATCCACCATATATTCTGGCTACTTTTTTTTTTTTTAACTAATTTTGATTTGCTCTATCAAACTAATTACAGGAAACGTTAAATTCCAAATCAGCATTTCATGGAAAAATTAATCATTTGAAAAGCTAACTACTTTCTATACCAAAATATAATTGTTTGGCACAATTACAATTTATTTTTAAAGTTCAGAAGGCATCATAGGAAAATATAACTAAATATCTGTTAATAAAAAATGAATTGGATAATATTTTTGGCTACAACATTTTTATTTTCAGATATATTGTCTTTCTTTTTCTTCTGAGAGATTTTTTGCTTTAGGGTGTGTGCAGTGACTAGACAGAAAGTAAGAAAACACCCCTGGGGGGACGGCCATGCCACAACCCCTTCTCCTCCATCCTCCTCCTGCAATTTTGGGCACACATGTATGTGCCTGAGTGAGTTTCAAGCCTCCAGGTACGGGACTCAATCCGTACCACCCATGTGGGAGTCCAGTACCTTAACCACCCTGCCACCTGCTGGCCCTCAGATATATCTTCTAGGAGGATAATTAGATACTCCAAAACTCGAGTTCATTACCCTAGAAAGACAAAAAGCTTTTCCAAATGAGGCAAGAAAGCTGAAACATGGAGAATATCACATAATTTGATCCTGTCAATCCAACATTTTTGTATCACAATCTATGGTGGAAATTTACCTGGAATTTTAAAGACAAAGTGATCAGCTACTACTCGGCAAGTTCTGCCTTTATGGATAAAAATTTTGGCCATGAAGTAATAAAAATCTATGGGAATTGCTCCATGATAAAAAATGATAAGTGCTGGTCCTTCTTCTGGTATTTTTTCCATTCCATGAACTTCATAACCTGTTTAAAAGACAAAATGCAGATACTTAAAATATATTTACTAACTTCTTTCTTCTAAAAGTGGTCAGTATCTATGGTCAGTTTCCTTTCCATTTCCCTCCTTCTTCCCCCTCTCTCCCTTTCCTTCCATCCTACAGCCGTTAAGTGGGCCAGACTGAAGTAGGTGCCCATGTGGAGAGGTGGCCTGGCCTGAGTGCTGGCGCCAAGGCAGGTGAGGACAGCACCCACACACGGTGGCCCAGGAGGGAAGTCAAGGCGGAGCGGTGCCGTGAGAGCCCCCACACGGGAAAGAACCTGCAGAGGTGGGTCAGGGTGGAAGGGGAGCTGAGAGGAGAAGCACAGCCAAGGGCAGGGCAGCATGAGGGCCACGAAAACCAGCTCATTCCCAGTCTTTCACAGACAGCATTGCAACGAGCACCCCTTTATGTGCACCCCTGCGCACTGAGACATGGGAGCACCACAGGAGCAGATGCTAACACAGGCAATGCTTCGGTCAGATACGTCCGTCCACCTTCGATTACAGCCGATACCACCAAACTGTCTCCCACCAAATTGCTTTTCCGTAAGATCGCATTTCTCCATCCTCATCCTTCCATGCTATAAAATTTCATTTTTGCAATTCTTTAGGGTACAAATGGCATCTCAATGCCACTTTACATTTTCCTGATTACTAAGGGAGCTTGTGTATCTGTTATAATTACTGGACATTTATATTTCCTAATTCCACCCTTAGGCCCTTTCTAAGTGGATATTTTTTAGTAGTATTTCCTAAAATACACTGTAAATAAGTTGTGCCGCTCTGCCCCATTAGTTAACATGTCTTTTAGCCGTGTTTTGTAAAACAGTTTTTGCTTTTGTCTTAAAACTTCCCTATTTGAAGTTCTTCAAATATTTTCCTGCTTTTTTTTTGAAATACTATCTTTATTGTTCAAAAGATTCATTTTTCTGGACTCTTCAGTCTGTGTGATTTGTTACAATCCTTTCTCTATATCAATACCACAATCTGAATTATTGTAAATAATGTTAAAATGAGCTTGATATAGGGAAAATATTTTACTTCAAACAAAATGATTACAGGTGGTGCACGGGCAGTCACTAACTTTCTGTTAATCCTACTTCCGCTTCCCTTTAGGAATGGTAAGTTTGTTCACGGACTCACTTGCTTCTTGCAGGCCCTGCTCATTTTCCAGGACAATGCTGAACAGCAGTGGTAACAGCTTCGGTCCTAGTCCCTACTGACAGGGACTGCTTCTGCATTTCTCCACTTCTCCATCATGTGTATTTGTCGAAAATTCTGGTCATTCCCTAATTAGTTCAAGTAGTACTCTTTTTTCTTTTTTTGGGAGAGGTTTTTGCTATAGGGTGCATGCGCACGCCAGACAGAAAGCCAGAGACAGAAAGCGAGAAATCACCCCCCAGGGGGGATGGCCATGCCACAATCCCTTCTCCTCCATTCTCCTCTCGGGATCTTGGGCACGCACGCACACGCGCCCGGCGTGAGTTTAAGCCACCGGGTCCGGGACACGAACCGCAGTCGACTACGTGGGAGTCCAGCGACATAGCCACCACGCTAACTGCTGGTCCCTCAAGTAGTACTCTTAATCCTCATCTGCCAAGACTTTGATCACAAATACTGAACTTCATAAAAATCACTTTAAAGTGAATGACCCACAAATCTCCCAGTGTTGATGACAAGATTGTGCCAGTCCTTGCGGAATAAACTGTAGCACCACAGTTTTCCTGGGCCTGAAACAGCTTATTTAAGCTGGGTATCATTTGTTCCTTAAATGTTTGGTAGACTCCATGTGCTCTGGACCCTTAACTCTGGACACTGCTCTAATTTGTCTATGATTACTGGTCAATTTTGGTTCTCTCTTCTTTTCGAGCTAATTTTTTATCATTCCTATTTTCCCAAAAGACTGATATAAGATTCAATTACTCTTTAAATACCGTGGGATGAAACAGTTACTTACATACTTTCCTCTACTCATTCTTTAACACTTTGTTCAAACGCTACCTTCTCCGTGAATGACGTTTTTATGTTCTGTCGTACAGCAAAAGGAAGTATTTACTGAGCCTTTACATGCTAGAGGCTGGCACTGGATCTGTCATCAAACCCTCCCCGAAACCCTCTGCTGAGGAGGAAACCTAAGCGTGGAAGGCTTTTTAACTTACCCTCGTCACACAGTGGGGGCAGGACAGAAACCACACCTGCCTATCGCCAGAGTCCTGTGTTCTTGCTCCACACCACACTCCCTGCTACAGGTATGTATGTGCTAACCTACAGACGTTAATTTTCACAGGCTGGTTGTAATTTATTAATGATTTGAAAGTCAATGTAGTCAACCGTGAAATCTCTTTAGGAATGTCTAGCACTTTTCTTTTCAAATAAGAGTAGAACAGAAAAGAGTAGATCACATGTAGAAAGTAGATACACTTTTCATAAAATGGTACATACATGGGAATGTATTCTATATAGCAAAATGAATTTACTAGGGGGACCAGCAGATGGCGCAATGCTTACGTCACAGGACTTCCATAGTAGCCAACTGCAGTTTGTGCCCTTGGCCCACTGTTTTAAAATCACGCCAGACACATGTGCATGCCTGCCCCAAATCCTGAGAGAATGAAGCAGATTGTAGTGTGGCTATGCCCCCAGGAGGTGATTTCTCACTTTGCAGTCTCTCTCTTTCTCTGTCTCTCCAGTGACTGCATGTGCCCTATAGCAAAAACCTCTCTCTCTCAAAAAAAAAAAAAAAAGTATTTACTAGGAATAACAGTAAAATTGAAAGCCTTGAACTGTTTTTTGTTTGTTTGCTTATTTGTTTTTGTTTTTGTTTTTTTGAGAGGGTTTTGCTATAGGACACGTGTACTCGCCAGAAAGACAGGAGAGAGGGGCTGGCAGGTGGCATGGTGGTTAAAGGTGCTGGACTCCCACATGGCTGACCTCAGTTCAAGTCCCAAACCTGGCAGCTTAAAACTCATACTGAGTGTGTGTGTGTGCACGCAATGACCAAAATACCCGGAAGAGAATGGAGAAGATTGTGGCATGGCCATCGCCCCAGGGGGTAATTTCTCACTTTCCGTCTGTCTCTCCAGCAAGGAAACGTGCCCTACAGCAAAAATCTCCCCAAAAATAAAGGGAATGGGTTCAAAGGTTCAGTTTATATGAGATGATTTTTTAAAAAAGAAACAGAATATGCTATTTCAACATATAATAACCTACATCATGTTTTTCGTTTGGGCTCTTTATGGGCTAGCACAAGCCATTATTCCAACTGCTGGTCCCTTAAACTGTATTTTTAATATACTAGGCCCTTGAACGTAATGTGCTAAGGTGAACTTAATAACAATCGAGAAGCAGAAAGAGTATTTTAGTGTCTTCCAGATTATTGGAGAGTCTCCATAATCATTTTTGCTGATATGTGTGGAATCTTAGTATATAATAGAAACTATGCTAAACACTTTAAATGAAATTTCACAGAATTCTTACAATAATCCATTTTATTGAAGATGAAATAAGGTTCAGAGACCTCCAAAATACTGAGACCGAAGCCATTTTAAATCTGTGGTGTGTCCTGGAGCATTCAGGGTCCAAGGCAACTCAAGCTATGCTCTAAACCAAATTTTCTAGACCCCCAAAACACTGAGACAGGTAGAGGAGCCTCTGTCCTCTTTCTGCCTGTCTCTCTCTTTAAATAACTTTTTTTTTTTTAATTTAAAAATACTTCTTCTCACCTCAGACCTTTTCTTTCTCTTGCTAATTTCAGAAACCATTTTAAATCTGAGGTGTGCCCTGGCATGTTTGTGATGTGGTTTTCATTTTTTATCTTTCAAAATAAAGATTTCTTTTTCTCTTTTTTTGTTGTTTTCATCCACTTTTTTTTTCTTTTCTTTTCTTTTTTTTTTTAAAACCTTATTTTCCCCCTCTGCTCTTCAGTCTCCATATACTGTGTCTAGACAGGCCTACATGCCCCACAGTCAAGCATCTGAATACTTTTAGGGTTATTGAAATCCTCAACACTTATTGAACCTCCTGCCTTAAGGGAGAAACTGCTTTTTATAAATCTGAATGCAAAATCTTTCTGTGGATACCACGCTGCAAAACACAGCAGAGAGATTTTGTCACAGAATGACCTGAAACCACAGCAAAAGGGAAAGAAATATGAGAAACCAAGAAAATATTTCTCCCCTAAGGGAAAAGAACAACCCTTGATCATCTACAGATAGTATAGTGGAACTCATGGAAATTTCCAATAGAGATTTCAGAATATTCGTAGTGACAAAACTCAGTGAGATTCAAGAGCTGAGAGACAATGAACTCCAGAAGAAGCAGGAGAAAAGAGACGAATTGCAGGAGGTGAGGAAGTTCTTACATGATCTGAAAGAGGAAATACACACCATAAAAAAGAATCAAATGGAACTGTTAGAGATGAAGGCAGCAATACAGGAAATGAAAACCTTCCTCGAAATTATTAAAAGTATATTAGTCCATGGGACCAGCAGTTAGCGTAATGGCTGTCACTGGACTCCCATGCAGTCACCGCGGTTCGCGTCCCGGACCCGGTGGCTTAAACTCATGCC